ACCCAGCATGGCTGACTTCGTGGGGGAGGGGGTGCCGCCCCAAAGGGAAATCAAGAACTTTTACCCAAATAAGGAAAAGCAGTGCAAAGCAAGCAGAGAACACAGGGATCCCCTAAATTCATGAGGAAGTTAACTGGGAAGCACCCTGTCTCGTAGGTAAAAGCTTTGCCTGTGTGCATTCCTTTCTCAAAGAAGCAAGGGGCTTCCCACAGGTCCCTTCTCCCCTTAGCGCCCACCCTGCCTATTTAAAGCCCTTCGATGCCTTCTCGAGGTGATATTGTTTGACAGCTTTTCAGAAAGGCTCCAGAGAACTGTCTGGTCTCAATGCCAGCTTGGCCACTGGGAAAGAAACTTCACGCCCCTGTGTGCCGCTTTCTCCCCGGCGAAAGGGGCATAAAACTATGTTTGCCCTTCCTTCCAAAGAGTTCAGTGTGGAAAAGAAGAGAAAGACTAACTTCGCAGTGGAAACCCCCGACAAGCATGACCTCAGCCAGACGCTCAAGGTCAACACGAACAGTGATATATCATGTTGGCAGCGGGCTCCTGTGATATGATGTGATGAGAATGACCCTTTACCTCTGGGGTCTTCCTCCCAAAACCTATAACCCCAGTCTAGTCATGAGGAAAAAATATCAGACAAATCTAGGGGCATTCTACAATATATCTGACCAGCGCTTCCCAAAACTGTCAAGGTCATCAAGAAGAGGGGAAGTGAGAGACCATCAGAGCCGAGAGGAGCCTGAGGAGACATGATGGCCACGTGTAATGTGGTGTCCTGAATGGGGTCCTGGGGCAGAAAAAAAAAAGGGGTATCGGGTAAAAGCTAAGGAAACCTGAATCCATCGCGGACAGTCATTACCGTGAGCGCTGGTTTGTTCGCTGTGACAGGTGTCCCACACTGGCACACTCTGGTAACAGCCGGGGAAACTGGGTGAGTGTGCACGGAACTCTGTACTGCCCTTGCAACCTGTCCGTAAATCCAAAACGTTCCTCAGGTAAACAGGTTATTCCACCTGTGAGGTTCCTACGTCAGCAGCTGAGGTGACAAGCTGGATGGGGAGGGGGCCATCAATAAGCCGGCCCTGTGATCCAGAACTGGCGGGGGGCTCCCCTCCTCCTTAGAAGCAGGGGCCATTCAAATGACACAGGCACTAGCCAGGCCAGGCCCTGGACTCAGCTTCTCCCGGCTCCAATCTCCTGGACCTCTCTCCACTTGTCAACAGCTCCAGAGGACCCCAAGGCATCTTTAATCTGGGCCGTGGATTTCTTCCCTGCCCACAGTCGGGATGGCCATGGACCTGTGAGTTCTGGCTCTCATCCTCCACCGCCAACCCTGTCCCATTTGAAGAATCACCCTCTACAGATCCCTGACCTGTGCCCCATGGCCCTCCCCAGGAGGCCATACCCCACATCCAACATCAAGCTCGGGCCTGAAGTGCACTGACTGCCATGGTCCTGCCCGACTCCCCTTATAGGTTTCAGATGCTTTAACTCCATACATCTCCCCGGTGTCATGTCACCTGGGGGCACAGACCATACCTGCTGCCACCTGTAGTCACCTCCTGACACCCTAATGCCCACATGTGGCCCTGCCAATGGTCTGGGACACCCTCCACTCCTCCATCCCACATTTGTTTGAACGCCAATCTGTTCTTCTGTTGAGTGTCACCAACGGGGTGTCCCCCCTGGCTCCTGGACTGAGATGCTGGGGCCACGATGAGATTTTGGCCCCTTTGTGGGACTCATTCTTGGTCACCATCTGGAGTCACCCCTTCTCCTCCCCTGCACAGTATCCTTTAGCCCAGAGGATATGGTTAGCCCAGAGATGGTTAATCTCTGCCAGGTCCTATGCATATGGATTAATCCTCACACAGGCATCTGGGGTAGGTACAAATAGCACCCCCTTTTTTATGGATAAAGAAACAGAGGCACAGGCTAGTATGTGGCAGAAACAGGATTTGAACACTAACACTGTGCCTTGAGCTTCCAACTTTAACCCCTACACCGTATGACCGAAAGTATAAATCCAAGTAGTCGGGAACATTCCAAGGTAGCAGGAGTCATGTGCTGTCATGTGGGGTGGGGGGCAGAGACTGGTGACAGGGAAGGGACCGCCCACCCCCAGCCCAGCACACACAGTAGGCTTCTGCCAGCAGGCATGACAAGCCAGTGTGGGAGGTGCGTTCTGACCCTGTCTAGCCTCTTCCCGGGGCCAGGAGGGATGGGCTGATGGGAGGTGACAGCCAGTCACAATGCCATTACCTCATCCGAGGTTCATCAAACTGAAATGTGAAACTGCAAGCGAGCATAAATTCTAGGCAGAGAACAACCCCGCACAGGAATTTTGCAAGCATTACATGTTCTCTTTCCCTGTTGTGATCTGTATAGTTTATCTTCTGAATAACAGAGCTCATGACTGAAGAACAAGTCTCACTAGTTGTCACTCCAAGAGAGGAAAAAAATACCGTTCCTTACGTGGCAGATATATACTGGGCTCTCAGACTCAGATGGGGAATCTGAACAGAGCTCACTCTTCCCTCAGGTTAATTGCTTCTTTCTCCTCCTTTTTCCCTTTCACACGTCATCGCCAAGACCTGATTTTAACCCCAGTCCATTCTTACAGGGGTTTATATTTTTTTAACTATTTTATTTCTCTTTGAAATCATTTTATTTTCATCACAACAAGGGTACTCCTTAATCCCCATCCCCTATGTCACCTCTTCCCCCCACCTCTCCTCTGGTAACTATCAGTTTGTTCTCTATAGTCAAGAATCTGTCTCTAGGTTTCAATCTCTCTCTCTCTCTCTCTCTCTCTCAATCTCTCTTTTTTCCCCTTTGCTTATTTTTTTTTTATTTCCTAAATTCCACATATGAGTGAAATCATTTGGTGTTTGTCTTTCTTTCACTAACTCAAAGCCTTAAGCAATAAGGATACTTAATTTCCTATTTTCCTCCATAGCAAGAATTCTAGTGGTAGGGGAGGGTCCAGGACCAGTTAATTTAGTGAACCAATGACGGGAAGGACCCAGGTTATTTCCATCTCTCCAGTCTCCCATCATCAGTGGGTTGGCTTTGCTCCTCAAACGAACTCTCCTCGTGGCCACAAAATGGCTGCCAAAGTTCCAGGCATCATAACAGATACAAAGCCGTTCAGAAGAAAAGGGAGTTTCTTCTTTCTGCCTCCTTTTAAGAACAGCAAAATATCCATGCAGGATTAAAAACTTCCTCAACCTGATAAAGGTCATCTACAAAAACCTCCAGCTAAAATCATACATAATGGTGAAAGACTGAATGCTTCCCCCTAAGTTCAAGAAAAATAAGTGATGTCCACCCTCAGTGCTTCTAGTCAACATTGTCTTGGAGGTCCTAGCCAATGCACTAAAGCAAGAAACAGACATAAAAGACAAACAGATTGAAAAAATGCAGGTGATATAATTATTGATGTAGAACATCCTAAGGAATCTAAGAGGGAGTTGATAGAACTAATGAGTGAGCTAAACAACAGTACAGGACACAAGAGCAATACATAAGTACCAATTACATTTTTATACAGTGGAAATGAGCAATTTGAAATTGATATTAAGAAGTACCATTTACAATAGCATCAAAAATTATGAAATACTTAAATCTTATAAAGTAAGTTCAAAATCTTCCTGTCAAAAACTAAAAACACTGATGAAAGAAATCAAAGACTGAAAAGAAATGGAGAGATATGCTTTATTCCTGGATCGGAAGATTCAGTATTGTTCAAATGTCAATTCACCCTCAACTGATCTATACATACAGTGCAGTTCCAGTCAAAATCCCAGTGGGATTTTTGTAGAAATAGGCAATCTAATTCTACACTTGACACGAGAAGGCAAAGAAACTAAAATGGAAACAACTTTTTAAAGAGGAAAAAGTTCACTACTTTATTTCAAGAATTATTATAAAGTTACCACCATCGAGAAGAGAGGTATTAGAGAAAGGACGAACACATAGATCAGTGGATCAGAACAGAGCCTAGAAATACACCCACACATTCATGGTCAATTGATTTTTGACAAAGTTTCCAAGTCCATCCAATAGAAGGGTAGTGGCTGCAGCAGCTAAGGCTGAAACAGTTATATAGCATATGCAAGATATGAGGAAGAAGAAAAGGGAGAAGAAGAAGAAAAAGAAGAAAAAGAAGAAGAAGAAGAAGAAGAAGAAGAAGAAGAAGAAGAAGAAGAAGAAGAAGGAGGAGAAGGAGGAGAAGGAGGGGAAAGAGAAAGAATGACAACAACTTCAATCTATATCTTGAACTCTATGAAAAATAAAAAACTTCCAACGGACCAGACTGCAAACCTAAAGCCATAAAACTTCTAAAAGAAAACAGAGGAAGAATCCCGGTGACCTAAGTTGAGCAAAGAGCCCTTCGATTAAATACCCAGATCACAACTCGTTTCACAACAGATAAAACTGATGGATTGGATTTGAGCAAAATGAGAACTTCTCGTCTTTGAAAGACACTGTGAAGAGAGAGCAAAGACTTGAAGAATATATGTGAAATCATGTGTCTGATAAAAAGCCTGGGCCCAGAATGTAGAAAGAACTCTCAAAACCCAATAAAAAGAAAATAATAATCTAATTTTAAAATGCACACAAGATTTGAGCGGACACTTCAGCAAAAAAAAGATGTACAGATGGCAACAGAACACCTGAAAAGACGCCCAGGATCACTTGTCATTAAGGAAATAGGAGTTAAAACCTCAATAAGATACCACTACCGGTCTATGTCTACTAGGCTAACAACAAAAACAAAACAAAGAAATAAAATAAAAACTCACAAGACCAAGTGCCCGTGAGGATGTGGAACAACCGAACTCCCATCTACCACTGGAGGCATGCAAAAGAGGACAGCCACTTTAGAAAAGGGTTTGGCAGCTTTTTGTAAAGCTGAACATACGTCTCCCATAAGCCCCGGCCATCTCAGCCCTCGGTAGTGACCTAAGTTGACGGAAACGTGTCAGCACAAACTCTACAGGAGTGTTTATGGAAGCTTTATTGCTAGTGGCCCAAACCCGGACACAACCCAAATATCCCTCAACTGGGAAATGGATGAACAAAGTGGTGCAGCTGTACAACCGGGCACCGTTGTGCCATAAAATGGAAGGTGTGCATGACGACAAGACGAATCCGGAATTCCAGCCGGGGAAACCAGACTCCCGATGCTGTGTCCTCTGCGATTCCCCTTCTGCAGCGTTCAGAGACAGGGAAGAGCTGTAGCGACACAACTCAGCTCCGTGGCTGCCCAGGAGCAGGACGAGGGGGTGGCTCCAGACGGCGCAGTGGAGTCTGGGGGTGACGCGCTGCCTTGCAGCTTGATTGTCACAGTGATTCCATGGCTACCCGTGTTCATCAAAACCCACCGAACTGTCTGCTAAAAAGGGCGAGTTTTACTTTGTGTGCGTTATATGACACCTTCATGAAAAACAGAAAAGAGAAACAAGAACAGTATAACCTTTCCCAGAAACCACCTCTCACCTCTGGCTGGACTGGGGTCTCCTGTGGTCTCTAAGGCCGTCAATGGCGAGAGGAACAGAGTCATGGTGATCGGTTTAGACCCAGGAGCAGGTGCGGGCTGGTGGGCAGTGGAACTAAACCTGGATCTTGTTAGGAAGAGAGGAGGTGGGAGACGCCGATGTTGGTGGGGCTGCCGCGTGGCAGACAGACCCAAACAGATACGTGGGAATGGTCAGCGCGAGGCGTGCCCTGCACAAGGAAAGTGACGGGGACTGGCCAGGCAGTAGGGGAGGCCAGGGGGGCCTCTCTGTGGAGTGACCTTGGAGCCCAAACCCAAATGAGGGGACAAGTCCTAGGGCATGAAGAGCATGGCAAAGACTGGGGTCAAGAGCAAGGCCGCGGTCCCATGGCGGAAGTCAGTGGGCAGAGGGGCAAGTGCCCCAAACACATGAAGGAGAAAACAGCGGCAGAGGCCTGGGCCTGGCTTCCGTCCCGAGTGCCCCAAAAGACACACAGAGCGTTTGAGCAGTGGGGTGCCACGATCCCAATTATATTTTTAGAGGATCACAGCTGTTGGGAAAATGGACCGGAGTTACAAAAAAATGCACCTCGGGACTGCATTCTCCCGGTGGGGGATGGTGTGACGAGAAAGACCCCGGAGGCGGCCGGCTGGGTCATGGACTGGAGAGCTGGTTGGATGTGGGAGAGGGTGAGGGGACAGGAGGCGTCCAGGGTGACCACAATAACCCCCTTTACGACCACCTGCTTCGTGCCCGCAGCTTTGAAAGTGTCACATGGCCTCCCTGCAAGGTCATCGGTGCGTTTTATAGATGCTGAAACCAAGGCTCAGAGAGGTCTTGTCACGGGACCAAGGTCACCCAGTGGATAAGCAGGGGAGCGCGCCCCAGAATGGAACTCACCTCTGGCCGCCTGAGAAGGTGGGCCCTTCCCACCTTGCCTCCCAAAGACAAAAGGTTATTTTTTTTCAGCCGGTAAGAGTTATGTGGGAGGCAGAGGCTCCCCAGCACCTCTCCGAACCATCCAGCCAGGCGGCCTGCTCCCATTCCGGCCTGGGGGCCAATCTGAGGGAGGAGGCTCCCAGGCTTTGCCCTCCAGCCGGAAGCAGCAGGAACGGCTGCAGCCGGACCCAGTATTTCCAGGCGGCAGAATTAATAGGGCAATTCCCCATGCAGAACTTAGCTGGCTCCCGTGCTAAATTAGCATAGATAAATATTTTTGAGAGAGAAGGGAAAATAATGCATTTTGCAATAAAGCCAGAGCACAGCCCTCCACAGCCGTTCTGTGAATCTGGATGAAATGAATTTGCACCTGGAGTAATTGAAGGCGCCATGGTCCTCTGGGGCTAGGAGCAGGCCCAGCCAAGCGGATAAACTCCCTCCACTCGGCAGAGCTAAAGGTTGTCAAGAGGCTGATCCCTACAGTGGGCTGGGGGTGGGGGAGGGGGATGCGCCAGGGCCCGGAGGAGCAGGGACCAGGGTTTGGAGGAGGGATAAAGAATAAAGAGGAAGATGGTTCCAAGTGAACAGCTCAGGAGTCCCCGCTAAGGATCTGGGCCTTCCCGGCACACCCACCTCTCCACAAGTCTGGGGAAATCAGCCTCCTAAACCACTCTCCCTCCTAACCCTCCCCTGCATCCCCACAGCCTCCCCCTTGTTCAGCCTCATCATCTGTCATGTGGATGGTCCCAAACGTCCCCTCACCCACCAGTGGCCCCAAGGTGGGGCCTCAAGGGACAGAACTGGCCTTCAGCAGTGCACACCTGTATGGCTATACCAGTTGTTAAAAATACAGAAACACTGGAGCTATTGGGTGGCTCAAGAGACTAAGTGCCGACTCTCAATCTCCGCTCAGGTCACGATCTCGCAGTTTGTGAGTTTGAGCCCCGCATCGGGCTCTCCGCTGATGGCACAGTGCCTGCTTGGGATTCTGTCTCTCCTCTCTGCCCCTCCCCCCCCTTATATGCATGCTCTCTCGCGCGCTCTCTCTCTCTCTCTCTCTCAATAATAAATAAATGAACTTAACAAAAAATATGAGGGGCGCCTGAGTGGTTCAGTCGGTTAGGCATCAGACTTCAGCTCAGGTCATGATCTCGTGGTTCGTGGGTTCGGGCTCCACGTCAGGCTCTGTGCTGACAGCTCAGAGCCTGGAGCCTGCTTCCGATTCTGTGTCTCCCTCTCTCTCTGTCCCTCCCCTGCTTGCACTCTGTCTCTGTCGCTCTCTCTAAAATAAAATGAACATTAAAAAAATTTTTGAAAAATACATGAAAACACTTCACAGCCGGTTAGAAAATGACCAGTGTCTGTACCCCCTGATCACCCCAGCTGCCCCTGAACCCCAGGACCCCTGGTCTCTTAAGAAGGTACTGGTAGGTTAACGTCTGGCACCAAAAGTCTCTGCTCCAGCATGTGGCCCACAACCCCTTCCGATCCGCTGGGACCCTGTTGCACCAGTTATAAATATTTTTAATATCTCCCCTGGTGGGGAACTCACCTCTCCATAATCTCCATCAAGCCCCCCAGCTGCCTGGGGTAAATACAGCAGCTAAGGTAGAAGAGAGGGGTTTTGCCCTCACAAGCCCCTCTCCTCCCTCTGACAGCCAGGCTGCCCCCTCCATGTCTCCACCCTTTACTCCTTTCCCCATTCTGGCTGAGGGGAGAATCTCCCTCAACCTTGCTACGCAGTGCCCACCTTACTCTGCTGCCCGGTGTTCAGTCCCTCACCATCCGGCCGCACTGACTCTCCTGATACTCCCCTGAGCCTAGCCAGACCACAGCAGAACTGTCGGGATTCAGGTCCTGCCTGGGAGGTGGGTAAAGGGAACCAGCCAAAGGAGAAGAGCTAGACCAAGAGTGAGGGCGCCAGAGATTCCCCCAAGCAGTGCCCCCTCTTGGAGGCGACATCATGCCCAGGGCCTGATGCCCAGCAAAGGGGACTCCGCTGGAGCCTTGCTGCCGAGGGCCCATAGCTGCAGCCGGCATCTGACTGGGAACTCAGGGGCTGGGTGGGTGACCAGCCATGCATCCACCTGCCTTTGTCTGAACAGGTGGGGCCAACCCTGCCCAGCAGGGCCCGGGAAGTGGGTGCCCTACCCAGTCTGCCCCAGCCCACTGCCACCCATCCTTTCCCCAGAGCTTGAGACTTTTCTCATGTCTAAGACCTCGGGCCATGTTTGCATCAAAAGTCTTTGCAAACGCTTTTTCTCTAGTGTCAATTTTTTCCATGTCAGTGGCTCTCAATAGGGGAGGAAATGTATCAGAATTCGTTGAGATGCTTTTTTTCAACTACACACTCCAGGCCACTTTTGTGAGATCCTGCAAAGTGCTCCCCAGGGAAAATGCCAGAATCCCTTGCGAGGAGAAGCCAGGAGAGGATAACAGCCAGTGTTAAAGCTATAAGTACCCTGAGGTCCTGACAGCACCCCCCCCCCCCCAACCAGACTAGGGCAGGGGCAGGGGAGTGGGGCTCCCTTTCCCTCTGCCTCTGTGAGTCACTTTCCATCCAACAGGGCACCTGTTCCGATGGCCGCCTCATGTCGGGGATCCTAGGCTCACACCTGGCTCCAGAGGGTTAGCACATAGCACAAGACTCAGCCACCTTAAGCAAAGTGTTTTGCGGGAGGCTGTGGATGTAGTCCACACTTGGGGCATCCTGCCTGCCCCGTACATCTCTACCTGCTTCCTGACTTTGTTTTCGAAACACCTCCGTAGCTCCAGGCATGGTTCTAAACACTTGACATATCTTAGCTCTTTTAATCTTCCGAACAATACTATTTCCAAATTAGGTGCTGTTATTTCCTCCCATTTAACAGATAGGGAGGCCAAGGCACCATAGAAAGTTTAAGTGGCTTTGCACAGCCACACAGCTCCCAAGGGGACAGAGCCAGCACCTACACCCCAGGCTGGGTGGCTCTGGCCCAGCCCTCATTGGCCACGCTGCCGTGAGCTCCTCGGCACTGGAACAAGTGGCAGCTGAGGGCAGGCTTTGATGGCTCCTGGTGCAGCTCAGGACAGCAAAACTCCCTGTCCCGGGCGCCAAAGGGAAGCAGCCATGTGTGAACCAGACCCGGGCTCCCAGTGTTTAGGTGCTTCCCGCAAATTAGCTGAACGTTAAGGAAAAACCCGTGTCTTAACCAGGACATAGCTCATTAATGCACATTTACACAAGTCATGACAGTTTCTTCAAACACAGACTTAAAATGCCTTCTCTGCAGAAGCTGGTCACAGAGATCACCAAAAATAGCAACCCGCACAAGGCACTTTCAGTAATTACAGCTGACAACCTGGGGTGTCTTTCTCTCCCCGAGCCAACCTGGGTGCTCACGGTGGTCTCTCGGGGGACCAGAGCCTTGAGTTGAAGTTCACGATGTGGACAGGCATTGCTACTGGACCCTGTACACCTCCCAGCCCCAGTGCACCTGTTCCTGGTGGCCCGGCCTTTGTGGCCTGTCCCAAAACTTTAGGCGTACCACCGCTCTGCCAGATGTGAAGTCTCTCTGAGCCTCAGTTTCACCATCTGCATGCTGGGCACCGCACCATCCTTCCCTGTTGCTATGAAGTCAGAGGCGATGTGTGAAATGCACAGGACACAGGAGCGTGAAAGTGGTACCTACTCTTGTTATTCCAAATTGTGGAGGAAAGGGTGCTGTGTGCCAGTGGCTCCTGGAAGAAGAAGAGCCCCCTCGGGGGCTCCTGGGGTAGGAGATTATGAAATTAGGAGCCTGACTGATGGTGGGGGCAGACAGTGCCCCCACTGCTGACCAAGCATGGCACAAGGTCTCCCTTGCCCTCCCACGGGGTGTCCCAGAGCGGTGAGGAAGGTACCCAGAGCGGAGAAAGACCGCCTACAACTGGCTGCCACAGGAACACTAGCAGGGGCAGGTCTGTGGCAGAGTGGATGCAGGCTGGGATTGGAGTCACTGGGGACAGGATCCAGCCAGTCCACTGGAGTGAGGGGCTGGCCTGGAGGGAGGAGTCTGGCAGGGGCAGTTCCCCGGGTAGGCTCAAGACTGAGTGTGAAACACAGGTAGGCAGAGCCCACACTGCATTCAGAAATCACAGCAGCCGGGTTCCTCCACCTTCCACCCACGCACACGTGGCAGAATTGAGACCCAGAGGAGACACGGGGCTAGAACCCCAGTGAGCTGGCAGCACTCTGGGCCCCGCTACGGGCTTCCTCCCGTGCCCGAGAGTCCCAGGAGCGGCCAACAGTCCCTCCTCACTCACTCACTGGCTGGGTTTCCTAGGAAACGGCCAAGTGCATCCTGCCACACAGGCAGCCCCTCCCCGCCCCCCACACCTCCTGCGGTGAGCCAGAGTGGGGGCAGGAGGCCCAGTGAGCTCAGCCCGGACCCCCAGGCTGCGGCCACCTCTGGCTGAGTATACCCCCGAGGAGTGAGGGAGCCTAAAGGCACCCAACTTCCTCGACGGCACAGCCGCTCGGCCAGCCTCGGGAAAGCAGTAGAATGCAGTTAATTGGAGGTCTCAGAATCTCCACAATAGAAAGCCTTTTTTTAAGTGTGGTTTAAAAATGTTTTCTAGCAACATGGAGAGCACCAAATACCAACAGCTAAGGCTCCCGGAGCCCCTCCTGAGCCAGGCTCGGGGCTGGGTCATCCCATGCAACCGCCCTTGCACCCACCCCACAGACAAGGACCTGTGCTCAGAGAGGGGCAGGAGTTTCCCAAGCCCCAAGCCAGCAGGGGACAAGGCTGGAACTTGAAGTCTTTCTGGGAGGCACTGAACTCTGTGAGTAGATAGGGACCGATAGGTATTTGTCTTTGTCCTTTCTCCTCCTCTTTCCCTCTCTGTCCCTTTCTCTCTCCCTCCCTCACACTCACTTCCTCTCTATTTTTGAGTATTTTCCAATATTCAGCAAATAGAATCAAGAAAGAATAAACCTGTTTTCCTGAGTGGAGCCCCCACCAGCACCCCTACCCCCCTTCAGCATTTGGAAACAGAGATGGCAGAGGTCCACCGCTGGGCCAAATGCAGAAGTGACGGCTCCCTAGTCATTCATCAGCTCTTGGTGGAAGTAAGTGACACACAGTAATTTTTGAGTTGCATTGTCCTACTTCAATAAAACTGTGGCTCGGAGTTCCCCGGCCTGGACGTAAAACTAGGCCTCCTGTGGACTTGACCCTCTAGAAGTGTTGAGGAAGTAAATGTCCTTTGACCAGCAGGGTCACTGCCAGGGCTCCTGTCTTCTTAGCTTGTGTTGTAGGACTCACTGCCGTTTGAAAGAAACCCTTCCCGACACCCCCCCTCAAACCTTTCCCACATGTCTGCCCTTCTTCTGGTAACATCACTTCTCCACCTTGAGAAAAATTATCCCCACTGCCTGCAGCACTGGGGAAGCTGTGCAGGCACACACACACACACACACACACACACATTCACAAACATGCACACACACATGCACACGCCCCAGCCCCTGGCGGAGGCATGCCCCCCGGGAATGGCCAGCCGTAGACCACTACCCCTGGAAACAGAGACTGGTCCCAAGGGAGCAAAGCTGGGCGTACAGGCCCCATCAGGTCGCTCGGAGCCCTCTCAGGTTGACTTACAAATGCTGAGGCAGAGAAGTTTTCTTTCTGCTCAACTGGCAGGAAGTAAATCTGGAACAGCCGACAGCCACATCTCCCCCTCCTTAGAGAGCCACAGAAGGAAGCCGACAGCTGGAGGGAGATAAAGCTAGACACATAGAAAGGGAGCTGATGTTATCACCTGAGCCCTGGATCCGGCTGTGCCTGAAGGACTTTCCCTGGCCTTCCCAGGCTCTGCCACTTACAAGCAAAAGAAGCTTCAATAACGCAGACGTTGCTGCCTGGAAAGGGGGTGTCACAAAAGACAGACCCCACGATGCGGAGCTGGCTGAGTCTCGCGGTAAGGAGGCCATGCAATCCCCCAGCCCCTGACTTGTCATGCATCAAACGGCAGGCGGTGCTGTCACGGGCCGCGTCTTGGGACCCAGACCCAACGAAAGCATGCTTCCATGGCTGGGGTGATAGAGGAGGGGGTGGGCAGGTGCTGGGAGAGAAAATGCTGGGAAAGAAAATTGGCTACACCTGCCACCTTCAGTTCAACACACCTGCGGGCGGCGGGGGGGGGGGGGGGCGGGGGCCGGGAAGCGGGCTGCTCCACTTGACATTCAGAAAGAAGAGGCTACAGCTTTGTTTAGAGACCCCCTTTCTGAGTGCTGCCCGGAAGGAGGGTGCCCTGATTGTCTCCATTTAACAGATGAGGAAACAGTCTCAGACAGGGGAAGGCGTCAGAACCGCCCAGAGCTTTGATGGTGTGAGGGTTTGGAGGGGCTCACAGGACAGATGCGGTCAAAAACTGGGTCCAGAGAGCACAGTCTGGCCAAGGGGGTCGGAGCCCACGGGGGGGGGGGGGGGAGGCTGGAGAAGCAGATGGGCCACTGAGGCAAGGAGGCATCCCTGAGGGCAGAAGCGGATGATGGGAGGGGCCGGGGGACTGTGGCTAGCTGGGCTCAGAGCTGAGGGAGGAGGGGACTTTGGAATGTCACCTGCACTAAGCTTGCAGGCTCAGGGCTGGAGGGACTGGGCCCTGGGCACACAGGGGGCAGCTCCAGGCCTTTGCTGAGAAGACGGGAGGCAGGGCTGTCTCCAGGCCACTCCCCCAATGGTAGCCAACCTTGGTCCCTGCTTGGGCTGTGAGGCTAGGCTGCGGACAGCGTGGGGTGGGGCTGTTCAGGACACCAGGCAGGCTCTGGCCGCTTCTGCAGCTGCTAGGACCCGCATTTCCACCCCCCTCCCCGCCCCGCAGTGCCCTGCCCCATCTCTGTCTCTGTCCTTGCAGCTGCCACTGCCTCTGTCACCGGCAGGGTGGGGGGGAGGGGAAGCCAGGATGAGAAATAACAAACAGACCCAGTTTCCCCAAATCAACCTGTCGCCACAAAGGGAGGGAAATGAAGAGGCCTGGCCAAAGCTGACCTTCTGTTTACATTTTCCTTGGAAACGAAGAAATAATTGCCGTCGCTGTAAGGAGCCGACTTCAGATGGCCCCCCTCCTCCCTCCTCCCTCCCCCCTGTCCTATTCAAGCGCAGCCAGGGATGACACTGGAATCTTGAATCAAACTAAGTGGTTACTATGGTGTCAGCCTGAAATTATGAATCTCCAAGCCGGCCAGCACAGAGGCGCAGAGCCAGGGGTACACAATTAAAGCAGAGAGACCGAGGAAAGAGAAAGCACACTGTATTTCAATAGCAGCAAAATTGCACTTCCGAGCACGGGAATTAAAAAAAAAAAAAAAATGTCCTTAGAAATGCAGTCAGAGGCATGATCGAGGCCAGGAAGGGTCCGGGTTCCGCCACCCACTCATCACCCCCCCCTCCCCCACACACTGTCCCCTTCTGCCCCTCCGGCCACTGCGAGCCGTGTGCAGCAGGCCTGCCGTACAGCCCCGTCCTGGCCCAGGGGACCACGACACAGCGGGGACCTGGGCTTCTAAGCTCATGCGCCAGACTCGGAGTGTATCTCTTGGGCACCATCCTTGACGTGTCTTTCTCTCAGTCCCACATGGAAACATTTACAAACATTTACATTTACATTACATTTACTAACGTTTACGCCTGCGACGAGACCCCCCCTCCCACACACACACAGGCCACTACAGCTACCATCCTGGCCCGAGGCCCCCATCTGGGCCATGGCACCGCAAAGAAAAAGCCAGACCCCTCGAGTGGCCTCCCATGCTCACTTAGCTGTGACCTCACTTGTCTCGGACTCATCTCCCCCTACTTCCCCCTGGGCCTTCACTACAGCTACCCTGAACTCCTGACTGTTCCTGGAATATGACCGGCACACACCTGCCTCAGGACCTTTGCACTGGCTGTTCCTTCTGCTAGGAGAGCATCCCCAGATCTCTGTGATGGCACCAGCCTGTCTGCTTTACTCACTGCTGTAATCTTCATGCCTGGAACAGCTCGGGTATGTGGGGTGCTCAGTGAATGAACGCATGAACCCCATCTTCTGGGTCCCATTTTTTCCACCTTTACCATGAGGGTCTGGAGATTAGAGGGACAACCCAGAGGCCCACCACACAAGCAAATTCCAGTCTGGAAGTCTCTTTTGTTCAGTCTACACTGTGCTGGCCTGCAAGGCATTTGTAAACTTGAATTCATCAACAACGTATTAAAAACTGGGAGATGAACATACAAATCAGAATTTCCACCACAGAAGCTATCTTTCTTTAAAAGTTTGGTAGAACTTTCCCATCAAACTGTCTGGATCTCATGCCTTCTTTTTATTTCCTCCTCCTCCCTTCCCTGCCCCCCTCCTCTTTTGTATTAGGCTCTGATTTAACTTTTTGGGGGGGAGGGGGGATAGATCTGTTCTTTTTTTTTTTCCCTTTCCGCTTCTTGAATCAATTTTGGTATATCAGTCAAAGTTCCTGGCTGTAGACCACAAGTGGTCCATTAAGGCAGAAGACTTATATACTGCAGGGTTTACACAGTTTCCCAAATTTCTGGGAGGGTAAGAGACATGGACGAGAGTGAGAAGAAATTCCCACCCCCTCCAAGAGACTGTCCTATCAAAAACCCCATTGCCTCCACCGCTCGTCACCGGGCACCTTGGCCACAGCTGCCCCAGTGGAACCCAATGCCTTTACCACCAGAGCTGGGGTCTCTCATTAGCAGCCCTTCCAACCCTCAGTACACCCCTCTCCCCTTCTTCCTCACTTTCACCTCTGGTGTCCTGCCTTGGTGCAACTGATTGGCTGGGTCCAGGTCACGTGCTCAACTCCAGCTGCAAGGGTACATGGGAAATGTAGTTTCTGGAGTGGAGAGAACGACACCAGAAGGAATTGGGGTTGGAGGTCCAGTGAGCCAGGCTGCAACATGGGCCACTTGGCACGTATATGTTTTTGCCCCCCAAAACTGTTCATTTGACCTGAGATTGTCTGATTAATTGGCATAAAATTTCTAATTTCCCATAATTTAACATATCTGTGCATCTGTCTTGCCGCTCCATTTTTATGGTTACTGATGTGTCTTCTTGATCAGGCTTTCTAGTTTTGTCTAGTTTGCCCATTTTTTCAAAGAATTATTTTTCATTTTTATAGCTCAAGCCTACTGTTGTTTTATTCTATTTCATTAATTTCTGCTCCTGTTCTTCATTAATTTCTTCTGCCTGCTTTCTTTGGATTTATTTTGATGTTCGTTTCCTAGCTTATTGAGGTAAACACTCAGTTCCCTTGTCTTTTCAATCTTTTTTCTAATGACTACATTTAAGCTATTTATTTTCCTCTAAGTACACAGGTCTTGGGCAGTATCCTGTGGGTTTTTATATGCAGTGCCTTTATTACCGCTCCTTTCTAAATAGTTGGTAATTCGGCTCTGATTTATTGCTTAATTCATGTTACTTAGATTTGTTTTTAAATTTCCAAGCAGATAGATTTGGCGATGCTAGCCTGTGGTTTAGTTCATTTTATTTGAATTGAGGTTGGACAATGTGGCTGGCATGATGTTTTAAAAAGCAAAGGCAACATGAAAATATATTCTGCCTGTAAAAGATTCAGTCCATATAGAAGTTTATAGAATCAAACATGAAAATAGGTGCCCTTATGTGATTATTGTCGTTCTCTCCAATTTCATTTTCCTGCTTGGAGCTAATCTCTCTGGATAGTTTGGGGGGGTAGTTTTCAGTCCTGGTTTTACATTTACGTACATATTCATCTATTCATCCCTAGAGTTTAAAAAATTACTTCCACTTTAAACTGGGTCTTGGAGAATTCTCAGCTAACACCTAAGTACCTCCAGCCATTTTTGTTTCCAAATAAATATATTTTTGTTTTCAAATGAGTGTTTGCTTTGATTTGACAACAACCCGCAAATTTTGATACCGTGCTCTTGTGGCTCATTTTTTTTTTTTTTTCAACGTTTATTTATTTTTGGGACAGAGAGAGACAGAGCGTGAACAGGGGAGGGGCAGAGAGAGAGAGAGGGAGACACAGAATCGGAAACAGGCTCCAGGCTCCGAGCCATCAGCCCAGAGCCCGACGCGGGGCTCGAACCCACGGACCGCGAGATCTTGACCTGGCTGAAGTCGGACGCTCAACCGACTGCGCCACCCAGGCGCCCCACTCGTGGCTCATTTTTAAGCAACTTTTCTTGTAGTTTTGATTTACCTTCTGGCTCAAGAGTTGCTTATGAAAGAGAGTTTTAAATGTTTTCCAGTTGTATAAGTAGGCTTGAGAACACGGAGGAAGAAGGGAAATGTTCCGCCTCTTTCTACGAGAATGAGGCAAGGATATTTTAAAAATAAAAATATGTAAACCCGTATCGCCCATGAACAATTTTTCCAAAAGCCTAAACAAAATATTATTGGACCACAGCCACCACAGAAGCAAAAGATGAACAGGTCGTGATCAAACAGGATGGAAAATCCAGGAGTTGAGGGAGTGCTCAGCAACACGAATGTAATGGGATGTTAATAGATGGACACAGAAACTCATGTGACCAGTTACATGGATGCCCCCAAAGAAGCATTGGATAAAATCTGACATTCATTTTGGACTTGTAAAACCATTAGTACACTACATATAGAAGGGAAATTCCCTGACTTGATGAAGACTGTGAATTAGAACCTTGGATCTTGAAACAAGAATGCCCTAGAGGCTTGTGGGGGCCGACAGAACTAATGTTCTGGGAAGAACAAGAAAA